AGGGGAGTGGGACGTTAAACAACACACAATCAATCCTTTATGAGAGGGGAGTGGGACGTTAAACAACACACAATCAATCCTTTATGAGAGGGGAGTGGGACGTTAAACAACACACATTCAATCAATCCTTTATGAGAGGGGAGTGGGACGTTACAACAAACACACAATCAATCCTTTTTGAGAGGTGTGTGGGACGTTAAACAACACACAATCAATCCTTTATGAGAGGGGAGTGGGACGTTAAACAACACACAATCAATCCTTTATGAGAGGGGAGTGGGACGTTAAACAACACACAATCAATCCTTTATGAGAGGGGAGTGGGACGTTAAACAACACACAATCAATCCTTTATGAGAGGGGAGTGGGACGTTAAACAACACACAATCAATCCTTTATGAGAGGGGAGTGGGACGTTAAACAACACACAATCAATCCTTTATGAGAGGGGAGTGGGACGTTAAACAACACACAATCAATCCTTTATGAGAGGGGAGTGGGACGTTAAACAACACACAATCAATCCTTTATGAGAGGGGAGTGGGACGTTAAACAACACACATTCAATCAATCCTTTATGAGAGGGGAGTGGGACGTTAAACAACACACAATCAATCCTTTATGAGAGGGGAGTGGGACGTTAAACAACACACAATCAATCCTTTATGAGAGGGGAGTGGGACGTTAAAGAACACACACACAACGTTAAACAACACACAATCAATCCTTTATGAGAGGGGAGTGGGACGTTAAACAACACACAATCAATCCTTTATGAGAGGGGAGTGGGACGTTAAACAACACACAATCAATCCTTTATGAGAGGGGAGTGGGATGTTAAACAACACACAATCAATCCTTTATGAGAGGGGAGTGGGACGTTAAACAACACACATTCAATCAATCCTTTATGAGAGGAGAGTGGGATGTTAAATAACACACAATCAATCAATCCTTTATGAGAGGAGAGTGGGATGTTAAATAACACACAATCAATCAATCCTTTATGAGAGGAGAGTGGGATGTTAAATAACACACAATCAATCAATCCTTTATGAGAGGGGAGTGGGACGTTAAACAACACACAATCAATCCTTTATGAGAGGGGAGTGGGATGTTAAACAACACACAATCAATCAATCCTTTATGAGAGGGGAGTGGGACGTTAAACAACACACAATCAATCCTTTATGAGAGGGGAGTGGGACGTTAAACAACACACAATCAATCCTTTATGAGAGGGGAGTGGGACGTTAAATAACACACAATCTATCAATCCTTTATGAGAGGGGAATAGAACGTTATTAATAACACACAATCTATCAATCCTTTATGAGAGGGGAGTGGGATGTTAAACAACACACAATCAATCAATCCTTTATGAGAGGGGAGTGGGATGTTAAACAACACACAATCAATCAATCCTTTATGAGAGGGGAGTGGGACGTTAAACAACACACAATCAATCAATCCTTTATGAGAGGGGAATGGGATGTTAAATAACACACAATCAATCAATCCTTTATGAGAGGGGAGTGGGACGTTAAATAACACACAATCAATCAATCCTTTATGAGAGGGGAGTGGGACGTTAAATAACACACAATCAATCCTTTATGAGAGGGGAGTGGGACGTTAAACAACACACAATCAATCAATCCTTTATGAGAGGGGAGTGGGACGTTAAACAACACACAATCAATCCTTTATGAGAGGGGAGTGGGATGTTAAACAACACACAATCAATCCTTTATGAGAGGGGAGTGGGATGTTAAACAACACACAATCAATCAATCCTTTATGAGAGGGGAGTGGGATGTTAAACAACACACAATCAATCCTTTATGAGAGGGGAGTGGGATGTTAAACAACACACAATCAATCAATCCTTTATGAGAGGGGAATGGGATGTTAAGTAACACACAATCAATCCTTTATGAGAGGGGAGTGGGACGTTAAACAACACACAATCAATCCTTTATGAGAGGGGAGTGGGATGTTAACAACACACAATCAATCCATTTTGAGAGGGGAGTGGGACGTTAAACAACACACAATCAATCCATTATGAGAGGGGAGTGGGATGTTAAACAACACACAATCAATCAATCCATTATGAGAGGGGAATGGGTCGTTAAACAACACACAATCAATCAATCCTTTATGAGAGAGGAATGGGTCGTTAAACAACACAACCAATCAATCCTTTATGAGATGGGAATGGGATGTTAAACGACACACAATCAATCAATCCTTTATGAGAGGGGAATGGGACGTTAAACAACACACATTCAGTCAATCCTAAATATGAGTGGTGCAGTGGTCATTCTCCCCAGAAAACCGATATACTCTGGATTTTTTACCACTTTGCTTCATATCCAACAGAATTAATTCTTTTAACAATAAAATTAGTTTAAAGACAGAAAAGCTTTGTTTGTCAAATATTTATGCCTTCAGTTTTCACAAATTTTATTGCTACACATTTTACCAATTTATGTACCTTGATTTAAACTATGCTACAACGAAAAGGGGACAACCGGCCTTTCAATGAACGTTACGAATAGTGAAAGATTACGTTTGTAACAACAACCCCACCCCACCCCCCACAGTACATGCACGTGTGTTTAGATTTTAGTGCATACTGTGAAATCATTAATTTTGGGGGTTTTATTTTCGTTATTTTTGAGGCATGTAGAGACCCACGAATTTACCACCACCACGAAATATAAAATGTCATATGCATTACTACAACACATTTCCAGCCATGAAATCAAGTCCCCACAAACCAATATTTTTACTTCAAAGTTCGAAAATTTTACTTCAAATTTTACTCCATGAAAATATTTTACACATACAAGTAATTAAAAAGTGCAATTAAGCAAAATCATGAAATTTTCTTTTTGAACATTCTTGATCATATCTATCACCTAGCAGCAGGTATAAAATATAAAAGCTAATTGAATAGGAACCGGATACTACATATTAATTTTTTTTGTGGTGAAGAGATAAAAAAAAATAATATCGAATGTGAAACCCAAAGGTATGAAAAGAATAATTGAAATGAAGATTTCAATTCTGCTGCTTTGCCAGAAGACGAAAGTTAATTAGAAACAAAGTCAATAAACCATTATTGATAACCCAAGGGAAGGAAGGAAAGTAACTCAACAGTGGTCGATTCCGAAAATATCAAAGTATTTTGTCTAAAAGCTGATATCAATTGAAGGAGAAATACTAATCAACATTATGTACGTCAAATCAATCCAAAAGGTTTTCCTTGGCAACTTGGTTGGATACTATTAATATCAACATTGACGTAAATACCTATGCTGACATTGCAAATATTTTAATAATCATAACTAGTATTTGTTAAATAATAATAAAAAAAAAAATAATGGGAAAACACGAGATATTTTAAAAGGAATTTGCTTCGTCATCTCGGAACACAGGCATATAAAACTTCCCCACAGCTTCATAATATTGTTCAAGCATCAGAGATGTCAATACCGATTGTTATTTAATGCCAAATCTATTAAAATACCATGCAATAAATTCCGCCAGACTCTTGATTACATTTACAAATGTAAATGCTTTTTAATGTTGTGGATGCATGGAACAAAATCAATCGTCCTTGCTAGGTATCATTGTGCATTTACGGCGCCATCGGTAGGCAAATCTGTGTTTAAAATTTACTATCTTGCTGTTTTTACTTAAATTAGAAAAACAAGGGTTATTTTTTCATCAAGATAATGATTCCAGCAATTGGTCCTGAAATGCTTATATAGGTGATTCATTCTATTCTTTATAGAAACTTGGGCTCGTTTAACTCCCCCCCCCTTCGACATGGAGGAGGAGTCAACTTCTCAATATTTGTTTTCTACATGGTGACAGGGTATAGGGCATGGCATGTTTTTTTTTTAAATCATTGCCCCCCCCCCCCCCCCCCCCCCCAAAAAAAAAAAATTGTGGCCATAAAAACAGGAGACCCATGGGCCACAATGTTCACCCGAGAAACTTCAGTCCTTCTACTCTCCAGAAGTTTAAGCAATTGTTTTGTTCCTGTGAAAACTAAAAACCCCATATTATGGCATACTCTAATTCTTAGGGATATCTGATTCATCATAACATGAGGATTCTTCAATAACAATAGGACTAGAAGAAAATTCCTTTACTGTGTTCATGCATTATGTTAAATTTTATCCAGAATGAAATTTTTTAAAAACGTTTCCTTAACTACTCTAATATAAATTTTCTCCTATTTAGGCCCGAACACTACAAAATAAACTTAGTCATCTTGGTCTAAGCTGTTTCCAAAAGGAACATGAATTTCAACATCTGCTCATGACAATCATTCAAACAGTAAGCTAATCTTTGAGTAAAGATATTGTAATGTATTTTTGGAGCACAGTAAAACCCATCTTCCCAAGTCAAGGGTTTCTGATCCGTGCCGCTCCACATAAACATTATGTGGAGCGGAGCGGATCAGAAACCCTTGACTTGGGAAGATGAGTAAAACCTTAGTATTTCAAACTCGATGCTCCCCATACATTCCAGTTTTGGATGGTAAATGAATTGTTTTACTTGTCAGATTCTTTTGGGACCCCCTAACTTTGGAAACCATAAAATGCTCAAATCTCCAAAAACATGTCTAAGAAATCTGAAGATCTTTCCTTCAATGATTGAAATATTAAAATAAATATTCGTGTCGAGAAAAATACTGTCATAAACCACTGGTCCTTTTATATTTGTCTATTAAAAACGATACAAAAAGACTTGATCGCGAAAATTTTGTAGATTAATCCAGGGATAAAGCTTTTATTCGCGGCGACTTTATTTTGTGATTAACCAGGGATAAACTATTTTGCGACGTTTAATTTTCGCGATCAAGTCTATTTAGGTTTTCTTGTTAATAGACACATAGACTTTAAGAACCGGTTCACGGCGAGAAATATTCGTGATGATGAGGCTCTCGCAAACTACATGAAAATTGAAATTGGAATAAAAGTTGGTTTACAGTACTGTTCTAATTTTTTTTCTATTTTTTTGCATTGATCACATCAGTCAATTCATTCCACATTTTCTTTGACAGTAATAAATATTTTTCATACATAACAATACTTTGAAAGTAGAAGAAATACACAATTTTCTCTAGAAACAATGACAGAGATTTGTCTACATATCCAAAGAATTTTCTTCCATATGGAAGTAAAAATATGAAATACAGCACTTGATAGATTGACAAACCTACATAAGGGTGTATTGTATTGCTAATATATTGTAAACAGAATGTTAGTTTACATTATACATGCATTGGGTTATATCTAATAGATAAACAATTTTAAAACTTCCCAGGCCCTATTTGTTCACATGAAGTTCTTTGTGTTGCATATTCATTGCTGACAGATCCTGATATCAATGTAATGCCCCCAGATAAACACTGTACTTTTAGTAAAGAATAATCTAATGATTATTCCTCAAAAATCCACCAGTTCCTCTCCTGGGTACCCCCCCCCCCCCAACCCTCTCATAATTCCACCAGTTCCTCCCTTGGGATCCTCCCCCATAATTCCACCAGTTCCTCTCCTGGGATCCTCCCCTCATAATTCCACCAGTTCCTCCTTTGGGATCCTCCCCTCATAATTCCACCAGTTCCTCCCTGGCTATCCTCCTTTTGTGGCTGTTGTGAGTGCTGTAATCTATTTGGTCCACTCTACAGAACTCACCAGTGTCCAAATTCTTAGCCATTAGCTGTTCTGGTGCCAAATTGGGGGTCACATGCTGAATATACACACTGGAAACACAGTAGTCCTGTAAATTAAAATAAAGAAATTTTTATCACTTCTCCAAACTGAAAAAAACTAACAGACATCATGGAATATGTCTACAGGGTGATTGCTACGCCATCTTCACCAAAAAAATAGTTCATTTCTTAACTTTTACAATTGGACACTGGCAATATGTGTCAGATATCTCAATAACTACCATGAATTACTGTAGTGTAGAAGTGTTAGAAGTCTCTATAATTACCATAAAATACTGTCAATTAGTGATAGATATCTGTTAAATTACTGTAACTAGTGGTAGATATCTCTACAATAACTGTAATCTAGTGGTAGATATCTTTATAATTACCATGATATACTGTAGGGTAGTGGTAGATATCTCTATAATTACCATGAGATACTGTAGAATAGTGGTAGATATCTCTATAATTACTATGAGATATTGTAGGGTAGTGGTAGATATCTCTATAATTACCATGAGATACTGTAGGGTAGTGGTAGATATCTCTATAATTACCATGAGATACTGTAGGGTAGTGGTAGATATCTCTATAATTACCATGAGATACTGTAGGGTAGTGGTAGATATCTGTTTACAGCCATTCAGGTAGATCTCCTCTAGGTAGGGACAGTTATTGGCGATACAGAAGATGGTTTTATCTGTGATGTTGTTCACTCCAGAGAGAACTAGGAAGGCCAGATCCTGACAACTACCACTCAAAGTACATAAACCCATGTCTGTTACCTGTCAAATACATAAACCATGGTGACACTTTTGTATCTTTCATAACTTGATAACATCCATTTAAAAAAAATTATTCCTTTAAATAGCCACATTCATTGGCCTTTATTAAATTACAACATGCCTTTTTTTTTTATCATACTCTTATTTTACCAAATGTTCTGATACGCAACATTATCAGCATATCCACTCTTCTGAGCCTTTCATTACTTTACTCAATTCCCTGATATCCACACACATACATGTATGTCTAAAATTATCTTACTACATCGTACATGTAGGTCTATCTGTTACCTTACTGCATCCTTTGATCCCCAGCCTCTGGAGTTTAGAAGTGTTCTGGGCCAGCAGACACAGGAGATGGTCATCCACACACCCCACCCCTCCCAGATCTAGACTTCTCAGGTTAGTACAGTGCATAGCAGCCGCACATAGGACCTCATAGCTTATCTAATAAATTATATACATAGATCACTAATATTACTATCCATACATATGTATAGATAAGTATAGTACGTAGCAGCCGCACACAGGACCTCATAGCTTATCTACAGTAATAAATTGTATACCGCTAGATGTTATTATTTATGTATACAAGTTGTTCATGAAATTTTAATTTCAATTAAAAATAATGATTCAAATTATCAACTCATGTTCAAATTTTAATTGTACTCTAAAAATGAATTTTTACATCTCATCTTGAAGATATACTTTAAAGCCGAGTCTTGAATGAAATCACATATCATTTTCCAGTAAATTTGAAACTTTGTTCGATTAAAACTGTTACCTTTCTGGAGGAGAGGAATAGCTTGGTGATGTGCTGCGCCCTGTTTGGGTCCTCCAGCAGAGGTATGAGGGACTCCCCCGTAAACTCGTGACACATACTGATGTTGAGGATCTCCAGTGAGGTGCAGTATTTACTGATGGACCTCAGACCCTCGTCTGTAAAGTCTTTCTTTCTCATCCCACTGAGGTCTATCTCCACCAGGCTCGAACCTCGCTTCTCCATGATCTGAAATATTTCATTATAAATAGCCTCACTGATACTGTTTCTCTATTATGTACTATTAAGAAACTTTTTAAGTATTTCATTATAAATAGCTTCCCAATTATTGTTTTTCAGAGGGAGCTAGTATCCCATTTAGAAACTTTAATGACTAATTTATGTGTAAGTAATATTTTTAATTGCTCTTTACTAAGACTTTAGTCAAATTGTAAATTTAGTATTTTTTTTACTATAAACTTATAGAATCTCATTTTAGTGTTGCACAAAGGTGCCAAGAGAGGGAACTCTATGCATAACACTATGAAATATTAATAAAGAATTGTTTGATTTGGGCACAGCTAAATGAGTTTCTAGATATTTGATTTATTTTCTGGCACTTGTAATGACACATGATGAATCTTTATCCCGGTGTGTGATTTACCTGGGTAAACGTGTCGTCGTCAAGACAGGGAATCCCACACAGGCGGACAGACTGGAGGTTCCTCAGTCTCTGTAAGGCTTCAATCAGAATCTCTTTATCCTCCAGCATGATTCCACACAGGGACAGGGTTGTCAGGGTAACGGGAAGTGTCCATAGCGACTGATTGTCTGGACTGTGACTCAGCTGTACACAGTAAGACAGGTCAAGGTTTCTCAAAGACGTACACCCCTGTGTTAACTTCAGGAGAAAAAAGCATCTCAAAAAGAGGATACTAAGGGGACTACACCTCAAAAACAGAGTACTATGGGGATTAAATCTCAAAAACAATTTTTAACAGAATAAATATTAACCACCATCGATCAAATTGAATAATGAGGCAATGAGGACAGGTTATTAAATATTTATATTACCCTGGTACTGAATCTAATTATTTGGTTTCAAATCCTCTTGTGTAATATAAAATTTCTACCATGTAATATTTTGCTTTGAGTAAATTGAAGAAATTTTACCTTTAACAGAGAACCACCAGTTATTCTGGGACATCCATAAAGACTCAATCTGGAAAACAAATCATTTGCCTTGTGACACATAAATATGATGAAGATGACAATTAATTTGTCATGAAATAAAACACTCCTCCTACATGCATGGTTTTCCATAAAAATAAAAGATGTAAATTTATAAATAATGTTATTGGATTGCATTCACCCCATTTCCTTTGATCCAACATCTAATGCATGCTGAATACCCATTACTAAATGCCTATATATGCATAGTTAGATAGTTTTACCTTGGTGTGTTGAGGTTTATATTACTTACTGCTAGTAAGCCTTTGAAATAAAAAAAATCCAAGAAAAAACACCTTCATTATATATATATCACATGGCTTCGAGGGTGACATACCAGAATCTTTGCCCCGAGGTGACAGGAAAGCCCTGGAGTGTTATGTCAAGCGATGCCGAAGGCAGAGGGTGACATAACACTCCAGGGCTTTCCTGTCACCGAGGAAAATATTCTGGTATAGTTGCCCGAGAGGCCATTGGTATATGTTATATGACATTTTTAAAATTGAAAAAAAAAAAATCATCTAAAATCGTTGAAATATAGAGAAATAATCCGAAAAATGCTTTCTTGACGTTAAGAATAACCTTCCGTTGTTTACATTTGCTTAGCAACCGACGTCATAAAATCTTGAACCCGAGCTAAAATGCGTAACATAAAAACTCGTGAACGTGATCGAGAGGGTGACATAACTGCTTCCATTGGGTGTGACATCACTGTTTCCGGCATGACATAACTGTTTCCGGTGTGACGCAGCATTTTTCAGGGTTTACAGCGAAACTTATTACATTTGTGATAGGAAAACTTATTCAAAAATGTTATATAAGCATATAGCTGGCAGACAGCCATGTGTAACTAAAATGTATGAAACTGGAATAAAATTGTGAGAGTAATGAAACACTTACACTTGAAGATTTGGACATCGGGTGGCTAAGACACACAGACATGCATCACTGATTGTGTGGGGGGCAAAGTGTAGCTCCTTCTGTAACACAAAAATTGTAAAAATTGAAAACCTGAAATCAAACTTCAAGAATCAATTTTTAGAATAACACACATAACAGTTTAATTTTATCTGTTTAACCAGGTTTGGATATTTTTTTTGAAAGAACATAGGTGTCTTTGTGGTCTGCATTCCTGGTAGGTCAGATGCAGCACCACCTGGAGTAGGTATAAAGACAAGTATTTTCTGATAAACCAAATGTGTGCAGTTTTGGTTTTGACATCATCAAATTGTCTCAAATACTTTTATACAACACATGTTTCAATATTATACTGATAGATAGACAGATATAATGATATAATGTAATTTTCTGACCTTCTCTTTTGCTGTCTGGGAAGAGGGTATGAATGAAAAATTCATCTTGATGCTAATTATCAAAGCTTTTACAGTAAAACCTGGTTATAACGAAGTCACAGGGACCAATGAAATTTCTTCGCTATATCCGTAATTCGTTATATTCATATAAGGAATTCATCAAATTAATATAGTTGGGGATCCAAGATAACTTCGCTAAATCCGTGAATTCGAAATATCCGTGTTCGTACTTAACGAGTTTTCTTGTACTGTTCTATCAAACCTACCAGTGTTGGACCCACAGTCTCTGCGATGTCATGAAATAAGAGATCATCGTATTTGTGGTTACCCTGGCCGGCCACACGGAGAACTTCTACAGTGGGGTTATTCTGTAAGACGGTGAGCACACCTGAAAAGGTAAATCAGATCATGTGACCACTGCTTAATGACCGCTTCATGACTTCAACATAACATTGAACTAACTTAGACATTTACAGACTTTGGAATACTGTAAAGTAGAAGTAAACAAATCATAAACTGGGTCTTTAACTTGAAATAAGTACAGTGTATAGAATTGTAAATCTGTTTTTGATGCTATAAATAATATTGTGAATTTCAAAATTATTCTTATTGATAATACCCACCTTTTGAATTCATTTGTGTGCATCCCTTTAGATTGAGTGTACGAAGGACAGGAGATTTAACATTTCCCAGGCCTTTTGGGGTCAAATGTATCAGATTCTTTAACTCCAAGGTCTCCAGGGATTTCTGTTTATGTGTCACAGCTAAAATTCCAACATCTGGAACAAAGTTTCTACAGTCAAAACATGATATGCATTGAAAATATCTTAAGTGAATGAAAAAAAAAATTAGTTACTTTAAATTTATTTATTTCAATGGAAATTTGTGATCCTTCATGTCTTTTTATTCATGTTAATTCTAACAAATGACAACTTTGAAACTATATATAATTCTTGCAATATTGAGAATTCATGTGCCGTTATGTGTATATGATAACCGTATACACAAGTAGATTACGCTAAATTTTGATTGCACTTATTTATATGCATCTGTTTACAGCATTCTAAATTAAAAATTTAATTTAATATTTCTTGAATGATATGATGAATTTGTGACCTGAGACATCACACTTCTCTATGATGAGAGTCTTTAACTGTCTGCGAGAATCAGCGAAGGCTTTTAGGAACTGGTCGTTCACTTGATCACAGTGGTAGAGCTGGAGGTGCTGAAGTGAGGAGACAAACAGCTGCTGTCTGACACACTCCATTACATCCGGGGTCAATAGGCTGTGTTCACTGAGGCGCATCAGCAGCAGCTCCTTGTAGATGCGGGGGAGTTTCTCCTTGATGTGGGGTATCTCCTGTATACTGTTCATAATACAGTGAATACATGTGTCCTCCAGAGATTTCATTGTCTGATATGATTCCTATTGCTTCCTGAGATTGTCTAGTACATTGCCATTTCTTTTATAATGCTATGATGTATATTTTTATATATTTTGTGAGGTTACATGACTGTAGTACTTGTAATTCTTCCACTGTGACAAAATTAATGTACAAATGATGTTAAAAATACAGCTTGAATTTCTGATCTTTGCTTGTTTTAAGTCCCTGGTTGTTTTCAATTCAGAAGACAGGTGAATTATGCGAAGAACTTAGTGGATATGTCCTGAAGCATCATACATTGCTCATTCTATTAATCTGTTAAATACAAATAAAACAGGATAGTCAACTAGGAGCCATAAAACATATTTAATACAGTTAAAATTAAAAAAAAATACCAGAAAGATACTTGTGAAATATAGGCTTAATTAATATTCTCATAAAAATCTTTTCATTTTTGACAGTTGTTAAAATGAGACTCCGTGTTCTTCAAAACTGTATGAAAACTTACTTACTTACTAAAACAAAATATTTAGTCTCTAATGTAAACATCGTTTAGAGTGTTGCGAGTTTACAATTTCACGACACAAATTACCTTTTTAAAATTGTAAAATCTTTATAACTTTTCATTTTTAATTCACATAAATATGATAGGGGCTACTTACCGTGGTCAATCCTGTTAAAAATATAAGATTGTGTAAACTGAAAGTATTTATAGCCTAGCCAACTCCCGTTACTATTTATAGCTCCGAATGACTCCCGATCCCGATCTTTAGATGTCCATGTTACAGAATAAAGTACTGCAAATAAACTACCCTGAGTCACGGTCAGGAATTTAGATTTATGTGAAAAAAATGTATTACAGTTAGCTAAAATACTCTCATAGCGAATAAATAGATGATGCTATATTCTATAAATGTTTTCCTTTCTTAACAAATTCAAACCTTAAAAAATTTGAAATAATAAAAAAAATAATCAAATCTTATGAAATATAACCGAATTCAAGCAGTTGCATAAGACAAGTTTACTGTTGAAAAAAAATATGTGAAGTGTTTGTTTTGATTTTGAGATGATGCTTCATTTTGACAGTGCGACAGATGGAAACACTATATCGATTTTTCTGTGCGTTGTAAAAATAAAGTCAAGCGTCGCACCGTTTTGTACAGTCAAACTTACAAGGATTGTCTAGCAATGTTTTAATATAACAGTAAGTAATGTAATTATATTACTTTTCTTTAATCTTAAGCATGTATTACGTTTTATTTTAGCTAATATTTGAAAATAATATAATTCTATTTTAATTTTGTATGAATAACTGATTGTTTAAATATAAATTATCACAATCATTTCTCGGTCCTTTTCCTCCTACCGATATAATTTCCAGGAAAACATGCATTTTAAAGGAAAAAATGTGTTGTTGAAGCATAGGCGTCGGAACCGGCGGGGAGGAGGGGGTGTTCAACAAAGAAACGCTTATTTGTTAAGTCCCACCTTTTTTTCAATTTGCTTCCGACGCCCTTGAGTTATAAATATTAATACTCGTTTAATATTATAAAATTTTTGTAGAAGCTAATGCAAGTCCAAAGTGGAAAGCGCTGTGGTCGATTCCCCTTTTTCATCTATTAAAAAAAAAGTGTTCAGTTGAATCAGTGGTCCCTGGTCCCGACTTTCACTGTCGGATAATACAACTGAGTTTCTTATGATCATTTCAAATATCAACTTTTAGTATTACATGTATTTAAAAAGTTATAGATGTTTGTGTGAAGGTGTCTTCCCCCCCTCCCCCCCCACTCTCCGGGTTTGTTTTTGCGTTGCATGTCAACTACATAATAGACACTTCGTATAAATTGGAAAAAATGAACGGAAAAAAACTTAAAACACTGGGGTTAATTAAAACCAAAGATGTACATTAGTATTAAAAGGATTTGAAAATTTCCTTTGGTGCGCATTAATTTTCATATATAAATCCCCGTACATTTCCCTTGCAGACAAACACAATGGATCGTGGAACTTCCAAGGGGCGGGCGGTGGAGAAGTTCGCTGAGGTGTGTCGGGATGTCCTGACTGAGCCTGAGCGGCTGGGTCTCTATAAACTCCTCAGTGACTATCACCGGAGGCGGAGGGTAGAACGACTGGTCCCGGGACTGTTCAAGGTCATCCGGGAGGAAAATCGCATGGAGGTCATCCACGTGCTGCGTCAGCTGATTCCGTACACGCACCTGCCAGAATTCGACAGACAGACCCGACAGAGAAGGGCCAGGGGTCAACTCAAAACCTTCTTCTGGGACGACGAGGACGATGGGATAGGAACAACAGTCAGCTTCAGCAGTGGTGTGTATTGGTTTATTTTGTGCGGGGGTGGGGGCATATAATACGCATATTTTTTGGCTCACATGTTTCATACCAATAGTTAAGCCTTTGTTTTTTATTGATGAATGTTCCGTCTACCTGATCAATACATAGGCTCACGGCGGGAGTGAAAGGCCAACAGGGGATGCTTATTCCTCCTAGCCACCTGATCCTATCTCTGGAATTTACGGTGGACCGTGTTTATGCCTTGTTTACAGATTTGCGTCGTCTATATATTTTTTTGGGGAGATCAATCAGTGTTCGTTATCTACACCGTATTCATAAGAAATATTTTGGGATATTCAGGACTAGTGGCGATGACAATTTTAGCCTATAGATTTAAGACAAAGATTTGCATTCAAACCAGTTATAATAACTTTAATTACTATTGTCCCTATCATGAGGATGATACTAGAAATCATTTTGAAAATCATTAAGGTCTCCTTTTTAATTTGAAACTAAGAATTTTAGTTTGAATTTCGAATATCCATATAATATATTCATAAAGCCCGGATATTAGGGAAATACACTATTGAAAATGACGAGGACAGTCCAATAACGTAGAATATACATTTGAAAAATTGAATTAAATTTTTGGAGTTACATGGAGAAACTTAGAAAAAAAAAGACAAGTAACGATTTAATGAAAACACACAATATAATGTGATTTTTTTAAAAGTGTAGTTTGGCAAATACTCGGAGTTTATTTTACAAACGGTGCAACCCTTTTATAATATTTGAAGCTGAACCAAAGATGAACTGAAAAAATTACCTTGTTAAATTTATTTTCTAAGAAAAAATAGGAACTTTTTCATTTTGCTAATTTTGTTCGGAAAGGATCTTTTCCCTTCATCAATAAATAATTAACCACACTGCCATCTTTGCCATTGTTTTGGCGTATCTGGATGGATGCAATTCAGTATTGATTATCTACCTTTGGCCAGGTAAGACGCTCAGGTAAGGGGACACACCTGGGGCATTAATCTTCAGGTAGGTGACATATGGACTTTGTCGATCAACAAAAAGATGTCAAATGTTATGAACAGTGAAAAATATCTTTACGAATAGATATTTTACGTTTATATCGTATAAATTTATTTTTTAAGATCTGATATTCTCGGTTGTACATGTATAACCTAAACCGTGGATGTGAAAAACAAACATTTCGAGTTTTTACAGGATATGAGAGAGAAAAATCAAACTTAAATAATCGTTATGCAAATGTTTTATTATTGATTTCAGTGGCAGCTTGTGTTACAACTTTGTCGTAATAAACAACCGTTTTAGAGAAACATTTTGGCATTTTCTTGACCCCCCCCCCCCCGATAGGATTTGAAAAGACTATATAATTATACACTCCTCACCTCCCCAAAGTTTTATAAAGATCTACCTACTGTGTAACCTAAATGTCTGTATATTTCTACACCGTAACTTGTATACATAAGTCATTGTTTAAGACTCTTTATTTAACATATGTTGGTTGTATAGTCATTCTTTTGTGCTCTACGTACTATGAGAAATAAATAATTCAGGAAAATTGGCGTGAATTCCGACCGTTTCATAATAAAATCGCCGCCCAGTTCTAGCTCAATAGCTGATATATTCCACAAAAATGTAATTTCTCCAATGAGAAAATTCATCTATTGCGGAATGAGATATTTAGTTACAAAATAAATACTATAATTAAGTTAAATATCACATACATTATGCCCTAAATAGTTTTTTTTGCGACCATGCACACAACTAGTTGAAAATGTTAGCGGAACGAGAAATGTTCTATCTATATTTCAAAAGATTATTTCAAAAGGATATAATAATCCCCATCTACCATATTTCAAATGTTCATAAGTAAAATGTATGACGATGTAGATAAATAGTAAAAAAATCAGTAATGTCGATTTTGTTTATAGTTGACGTTCTGTTCTTTACAGAGGACGAGTCGGAGGGGGAGAAAAGTCAGAAAACAGAGGAAGATTCACGTGAAGTAACCCTACACAGGGACAGTCCATCACAGAATCTAGGGTTCAGTATCAGGGGCGGATCCGAACATGGTCTGGGGGTGTATGTCAGCGAGGTTACGCCCGAGTCTTTAGCGGGTCAGTTGATTTTGCAGGAGTTAATATCACACGAACAGTGCCTTTTTTATGTTTAACTATTAGATTTGTTTTTTTTTTCCACAGAAAATTAATAACATTCTTGCATAAGCATATTTGATCTCAAATTAACTTAACATGAAATATTACATGAAATATACGAAAAAGCAAGAAAACTTTTTTTATGTACATTGAATGCATTTTGTCCTATGAAAAAATGCACATAAGTGCTATAAATTGGTTCGAAGTTAATCAGAGAAATTAATGAAACGCCTTCATTAGTCACACAGTAGCTTAGCTACTCTCTTGAAAGCGTGCATCCACGTCCATTCTATACAAAAAAATAGATATTGAACATATTTGTAGTCATAAAATAATTTATGTTTGCACACATTTTATATTATCATTCAGTATAATGACACCAAACCGATTATTGAACAATTGAATTTGATTTCATCGCAGGTTTCAAAAATAGAGTAGGTTTTAGAATCTAACTTTTTTAATATGATCAGCTGAAGCTGGACTGGAGTTTGGTGACAAGATCTTGTCAGTGAATGGCGTCAGTCTGAAGGATAAGTCCAGCAGTATAGTGGCGAGTCTGCTGACCCGCAGTCCGGAAATCAACATGGCGGTCAGGATGACAGGGCACCTGCCAAAATGGCGGCTAGTCAAGGAAAAGACCGCGTGGTAAAGATAAAATTCAAATAATTCACATTCTACACAACATGCGCGGATCTAGAGGGGGGGTCGGGGGGGGGGGGGTCAGGACCCCCCTGGAATTTACCAGGTTAAAAAATATATATACTAAAACAAGAAAAAAGTTGCCATGGACCACCCCCCCCCCCTGGTAAACGCTGACCCCCCTTCGTAAACGCGAATATGTGTGAAATGGGTTTGAAAAGTGAAAGATTTGAGGTAATAGAAGTCATCAACCACTACCCCCCCCCCCCCCCCCCCCCCCCCCACCACCACGAAATAGGTTTTTGACGTTTGGGCGGGTTTAGGTTTTTTTTTTTTTTTTTTTTTTTTTTTGGCTTGTCAAGAAATTTTTGGGATCAGATTTTTTTTTTGACTGGGGTGGACCCCCCCCCTGGAAAAAATTTCTGGATCCGCGCCTGCACAATTAAAATCCCCCAAAACAATAATAGTTAAAAATATAATAAATATTAAGAAAGATTTAATGAAGCTGAAATAGTATTATTCAACTGCCAAAAGAAACAGAGAAAATATTTCAGGTTTGACCACGAGAAAAAGACGGTAATATGTGGGGAGTTTGAGAAGTCCGGATCTGCACATTACATTAAGGGTCTAGACATGGATATCCCCGAGCGAAGAGTGACATTAATCAATGACGGAGTTCTGGGGCTCAATATAAGGGGAGGGTCAGAGTTTGGACTGGGTATTTACGTGTCAAGGTAAGAGAAGGTCTATATAATGGAATGACCTCTCCTTTAAGGTCCCTTGTTCTCCTGATATGCGAGATAATTCTATAATTCCTTTATAAAATTCTCTAATTAAAATATCATTTCTATAAAAAAAATTCCAGGTTTGATTTATTTGCAACTTAATTGAAATCGAAGATTCTTGTCGTTAACAGAGGGATGGTGAAACTGAAAAAAATCAAATGTGTAAATATTCTCCTTTGTAGGAATATGAACAAATTAGTGTTACTATTTTTAGCATTGACCCAGGGGGGCAAGCAGAACGCCAGGGGGTAAGGGTAGGAGACCAGATAGTGGAAGTTAATGGTGTTAAATTCGAAGACGTTACACACGCTAGAGCTGTGGATGTTCTAACAAGTCAGGACCACATAATTATAACACTGAGAGTAAGTCCTCCATTGAATGCTACTCACACTATATTATACTGTAAGCAAATCCTCCACTGAAAGCTACTCACTCCACATAGCCCATTGTCCTCTTCAAGCGACTAACAAAAGTTACATCACCTTAAAGGAAAATAGACAGGGTTTTTACAGTAAAATACAGATTCACAGATACTTATCCTTAAATTTAAGCAAATAAAATTTCATAAGAATGATTTTTAAGAAAAATATAAAAAAAAAACTGAATTTGTTTTTAAACAGGATGTTGGTCGATACCCGGCTTTTAAAGAGGTGTATGGAAAATATTCTTGGATTCAAGGAAACCCTAAAGTCGGAAGTACGTTCTCACAATATATCATGGCACTGTATCAGTTGAACAGTTATTGTTGAGTTGTTAAATAAAGTAATTATTAATAAAGTGATAAAAGAAAACATTCAGATTTTTGTGTTTCTTTAAAATTTAACGTTGCTTGCTTTGTTTCAATTCCATATAGCACGCAAAAACAAAGCACTGCATGTAAAAGTTCCGGTGGAGGTTTTGTCTCATCGGTCACATGACCATAATTCTGACAGCGCATACAATGACGGACTTCCTTTGCAATCCGAAATTTATCTTCCAAGTTCCAGCCAAGCGTCAGGAAAAGGGAGAGTAACAATAGAGGACAGCGATGTGGACGATTTGGGGTCTGTCAACTTGGAAATGTGGAAACATGCAGAGGGGTTCCAAAATCCCGCTTATCACTCAGACTTCCGGAAGAACGAATACAGTTCTACTGAGTCTGATTCAGATGACGGATCTGGAATAAAAGGAGAATACAATATGACGAACATTGATGCAAAAATGATGGAAGAATTTGAACTTGCGGTTATTGAGCGAAAGGAAGATTCAGCGATAGATATTGAAAACGAAACCGTGTTTGATCACACTCCAAAAGAAGCAGACGACGAAGCGGTTTATATTTCGAAGACTTCAAGGCAGTACTCTTTGAGGAGCAATGCAAAAGTAGAAGAAAAGACAGAGTGTTTGGAATCATCGGACGCTACAGATAGTTGTTCGTTAAGTTTGAGTTGTTCACCAGAAACCAGACGCTACACAGCTTGGTCTGACGAAGAATTATTTAAAAATCACGGAGAAGATGAAAGTCTTAGCCCTGCGTCCTCTCGACGAAGTGTGGACGAATATTCAGAGCAAGAATTTGATTCAAGAATGCACACTCCAAATTTGATGGAATATCAAATAAACCGCCGATCAACTTCGCCGGAATCGAATATTCGGTATGACCCTGGAAGAGATGGAGATCATCTTCAAGATGGCTTTGAGATTCAGGAATTTGTGGAAAAGAGCAACGCTTCTCCAATTCAAAAAGAGGTGAATCCATATGCTTCCATTGAGAGACAACTTAGTACAGGATTTGTAGTAAGTGATGAGGAGATTGTAGTCATGCGAAGCTTTGATAGACAGATAGGTGATTCAGAGGGAATCTCTTCATCTCTAAGTGATACTGAACACTCTGTTCAGAATGACACTGACTTGGAGTCATCACCCGAAAAGATGGAACATAAAGTTGAAAAGAGAAACGTTCTTACGTACGAATCAACCAGCTTCAATAATAGTAAGCCACAACTATTACCGATTGAATTTCAGGACCAGACCATGCTTCCAGTTAATCACGATGAAGTAGACAACCGAAGAAAGGAGAACCACAAAGATTCAGGTTCTTCTCCGATGACGGAGATATCAGGAAACATAGGGATGCCGAAGACTCCAGTAAAAGACAAAACTAAAGGTAAGTTCTAAAAACTAAAAGATAGCATAGTACTAGATTTCTTGTTTGTGAATACTGTTCATAACTTTAAAAAGTTAAGATTCTAAGTTTGTCTTTCCCAGACTTGGCTTCAAAACGCAGAGCACGTGGGAACTGGAAAGTCCTAAGAGACAAAATTAAAGGAAGTTTACGCATCAAGCCACTCTCACGTAAGCTGAAAGCAAGCTCAGATATTGTGCAATTTTTCCTTCTACACAGACACTTTAAGAACAGATCACAATTATTCTGATATTTGTCATTGCAGGCAAAGGTCTAGAAGAAAGGTTAAGAGGTAAATATTTAAATGAATGAGAAATAGATACAAGTAGGCTTTACTTCGACTTTGGTCATTCGAAGAAATCAAAGCATGCGAGTAGTTTAAAAAGCTAAGTTCTAGTGTATCTACTTTAAAAGGAGATTAGAGTTAAGGTATGCCGATTTAAGTTCTATTTTTTTTTCAGAAATAGCTAGGGAACATGAACAGTCAGAAAGGCAAAGAGTGTCCTCAAACAAGTTCCAGAAAACCACCGTGTCTTCAAACAGTGTGAAGGCACTAGAAGAGGCAGCTAAACGCTTCCTGGATATACAAGAACTGGCAGATCTACTTACGCAGATCAGAATGGTAAGAAGCAATAAATAATCAAAGTACTTAGAAGTACAGAGAGCCGGGCTCATTTACAGAGTAGAATGAATTTCTTACATGAATCACGTTTATATTTTGATGAAAAAATTATTTTAAAACTATCAAGATAAATGATAAGACACTGACATTGAGTTTTTCAATCCTAATACCACGGTCCGATTTTGTCAGAATCAAAATTAATCTGGTACCGCAGCTGAATGTAAACAAACAGGCCAGTCTGGTTCCCTCTCCTATTTTACCTCATATGCGTAGAGAACTACGATAACACTGGTTATCAAAAATCCTTACGCTAATGAACTATGTTCTTTGACTTAGGACTGAGGTTTTCAAAGTCATTACTACTAATGTTTATTTATATAGATTAAACTTCGTTTTATTTTTGTTGTTTTATTTAGCGTTTGTATTATCTCAAAAGCGGTTGAGAGTAAGAACTATATTTTTGCACATAACTTTAAAATGGCGACTATGGGGTCAACTTCCTGCCTTGAACAGGATGACATAAGCCGGCAATTGCTCTTTGAGCAATAAGCCCGGCTAAAAAGTAGTTCGTAAATGAGTTGTCTTGCTTGTCATACAACGACATACGTTACACGTCAATTCAGTGGCCAAGTTGTCTCGCTTGCTATATGTACATTGTCTTCTTAGTGGCACTTCTTTTTTCAAATCCTTACGTCGCGGGATCGAATCCCACTGTGGACGTGAAGACCGATCCTTCGGATGAGACCATATATACCGAGGTCCCGCGTCGCAGCAGGTGCTGGCACCACGAAAAAGATCCCTTCCTGCTCGATGGCCCTGAGTGCCGAGTACAGGACAAAATTTGCAGCTGTCCACCGGCGTCTCCATATGAGTGAAAAATTCTTGAGAGGTGTGGCGTTAAATAATATACAATCAATCAATCTATCATCTTTTTCAAATATTCCAAACTTCCATGAAATATTCAGATTAAATATTTATGTAATATGTTATTAAAACTTAACTGATAAACCTATTTTGTTGTTACTCAGTAATCTTCGTGTGAAAGATAATATAATTAATACACAAGTGTGTGAAGAAGGCTTAGACCTAAAGATTAGGAGGAGTTCATCACTCGAAAATTGATTCTGAAATTATCTGTCAGTTTTAGTTGAGATATTAAATCCTTAGGTGTGAAGAGCCGTGTAATTAAAGATAAAGGCTTATTTAATTGGAATCTCATCTTTCTTTAATAACAGTTAAAAAGCTGCAGATGTTTAATTTGAAAAGACATTAAATGTATTATTTCTATCAATCTAGTATTTCTATTAAATTTGAAAGATAAAGTGCAAGACACCATCAGAAAATAGAGGAAAATTAATGAACACATTTGTACTCTTCTGAGAGGGTCTCACCAAAAACGAGAGATGTAATTTAAAGTGAGTGAAAAGTTACAAGAGCCATTAATGTACTTTAATCTTTATTTTGACAAGCTTATAATCAGAGGAGGTTTATTTTATCCACACTGTACGTAATGATAAATTTATAGCAACCCCGTGCCTTAATTTGTTTGTCTCTTCTACTATCAAAAGCTGTTCGTTACCCTTTTGGCTTCCGACAGCTGTTTTGGTTATGTAAGAATTAACGTTACGAATTTCCTCTCATCTCGATAAAAAGCATCTACAAAAGAATTAATATTAGATTAAAGACAAAAACTAAATGAGAAGATGGTCTTCGATGACTGTATAATGGACTATTATAAATAAAAAGGCTAGGAAAAGTAATCTATAAGATCTATCTAATTAATGGTAAGTGGAGTTTACCCATCTCATTATATTCCGTGGAATCTAGAGATGAAAAGGACTGTCTTTATGAGAAATATATAAATGTAGCCCTTCCCTCCCTCGTTCACACGTTCTAATACAATCATTAAGTGCTCCATATTATGTGGAATGTGATAAAAGAAGATTTACAAACAATGTTTTGTATCTTCCGGCTACGCCATACACAGAGAACCACAGAGTACGAATGAGAAATATCACCAAATCGGTTACTGAGTGCGAAAAGAAAATTGATATTTCATTTAAATGTCAAATTCTTTGTAAGTGCTGGTTGACTTAATGGTAAATCTTTTTTGATAAATCTCTTGTTTTTTTGGTAGTACCACGAAAGTCATGATCTGGACAGATTGCTGGAGGTTCTACTAGCCATGTTAGATACCCCAGAGAAGATATTACTACTCAGAGAAATAAGGTACTGATTCAATAACTAACGACTGAAGTTTTTATGTAATACGAATAATTAATATTTGACAAATGAACTTTTTCATGAAAATTTTTAAACGTCTTTGGTGTTAAAGGAAGCCGGAGAAAATGTAGATATATAGCATTTTTATTTCATTACATTAATAACGTAAATAAATAAATGTAAAAATCACAAATTAATATAAATTACCTGATAAAAAATATCATCCTTCCCTTTCACACTGGCAACTAATTTTGACCTCTTTCAGACACGGTTTTAAAATGTTGAAAAGATACTGCTCTGTATTTGCCCCGACTGATGAAATTCACTCTCTTGCAACAGGGTCGAAATAGACAAAAAATTAACGGGCGCGAAAATTTCCGTATATATGCGTTTCTCTACGATACATAAACATGAAATGTATAAAACCTTTCATGTACCATATCGTTTTCTTAATTTTGTTTCGTTTGCCATAATATTTTATAAATATTTTATTGACTGGAAATGGATCGCGCTCATTTTTAAAACGAAAAATCCCTAGGTTTAGTCTTGTTTTTATATATCTAGTCATGTGTTAATTAGTATTGTTTGATATTTTTTTTTATAGAAGTGTTATTTTCCCTGTGGACATCTACCGATTCGAGCTCTCTGTCAGCAGATATGAAAAAGAAGCTTATGAAAAATTGTCGACCAAACTCCATCTTTATCTGAACCACGGCAAGGAGCGCAAGCCAAAGAAACACTTGCTTCACACCGAAACGGGTCAATATTTACTTCATTTAAGTCATATTTCCTTAGCATAAAATTAAATAAATTAAAAAAAGCAATATAAACTCAACAATTTATACTCTCTTGATGAAACTAATCATATTTTATTGTAATTGTCACCGTAGTTATGAAGGTGACCTTTTTGCTAACTGATACTTGTTTTCTGGAAACTTTCAACCAGTTTCGTTGTAAATGAAACATATGGAGATAACGAACAGTATTCAAGATCAAAAGTCCAGAAAACAATACAAAAAGAGCAGAGCAACGGACCTCCAAAACATTAGAGGTGGGATCAGCATCTTCGAGGAAAGAAAAATTAGTGAATTCTATGGTCTCTGCTTGATTGTGCCTGAAAGGCAAATTCAGTTTTAAACAAGATAACTATGAGGTCTAGTGGTCATCTGTTTATCATCAATTTTTAAAGCTTTGGAACATTTTCGACTCAAGATACGAATTAATAATCATGTTTAGTGAGAACTCTTGATCGATTTTGGCTCCGGGAAATTCTGGTCCAGGGTTCATACATCTTTGTTTAATGAACTTTTTGGCTTGAAACTGTTCGTTACCTTCATATATTTCATTGAGCTCACTTTTTATCTCAGTTTACTTTTTTCACTTTGACATTTTCACAATAAAATCATTGTGTGAAAGTGAGACTTATATTAAAAGTGAGCTCTTCTAAGTTTTATTGCCCCAAAGAACCAAAGGTTTTGGATATAAAGTGCACTATGGACCATCGTAGGGGATGTTTACCTCCCCCCCCCATGCCACCTGATCCCACCTCTGATGTTTTGGAGGTCGGTCAGTGTTTGCTCTGCTCAAAGATTTGTATAGTTTAATGGACTTTTGAGCTTGAATACATTTTGTTATCTGCATATATTTCATGGAACCAACTTTAAACCTTCTTTGAGGCTTGGTCCATAGACGTAGGGGACACGAACTTATGATCCTCCCGATTTTGCTCTTTTGCTTAAAAATGCGATATGTTAGCATAATCCTTATCATTTTGCCAAAATTAAATAATTAGGCTCTAGGATCTCCAGAGTCAAATTTTCTCATCTTATGTCAGGCTTAGATGGAGATCCATGAAGTTTGAAATTGCATTACGATTTTGAACAAGCAAATTGTTTCCTTGGATAAGATTTTTCTCCTTATCATATTACTTATGCTCTTTACAAAAAAAATTTGAAATACAAGACCCCCATGATTTATACCCTAAAGTGGGGAATTTGAGAATAAAAACAACACTTTAATTCGTGGTGGTCAATGTTCATGGGAAAGCAATATTTTGTTGCTTCATTTGGACTTGATTTTTCGTTAGTAACTCGTATATATATATAGAAGATTTCAAGAATAATTGTTGACAAAACAATCGTTTGTGGGGATGTCAATCGTGGATAAAGGTATCCCACGAAATCCACTGTCTTGAACGAACACCTCTGATCCTCCATGACACCTGATCCCACTTCTGATGTTTATGAGGTCCGTGTGTGATCTGCCACAAAATGTGTATTGTTTAATGGACTTTTGAGATTGCATGGATACTTTTCATTTTCTCCATATATGTCATGGACCCAATTTAATTATCCCCCCAGGCTTGGCTCATAGACATAAGGAACATAAACTTATGAAATTTTTGTTTGTTGTTTAACGTCCATTTCGAAAATGTTTCACTAATATGGAGACGCAATCATTTGCTGGTGGCTGGCTGCACATTTGTCCTACAATCGGCCCTTGGGCAATGAGGGATCTTTTTCGTGCCAGCACCTACTGCGACACCGGACCGCGATTTATACGGTCTCATAGACTGGTCTTCGCATCCTTCAGTGGGATTCAAACCCACATAAAGATTAACTCTACTCCCGACTGTAGAGCGGACGTTCTCACCACTGCAGCACGTTGCCAACTTATGAAGTGAACAATTCTTTATTCAAACTGTTTTGTGTCACCTTATGTTAAGGCTCAGGTGGAGATCCATGTAGTTTGAAAATGCATTACGCTTTTGAACAAGCAAATTGTTTCTTCGATTATAATTTTTCCCCTAATCAAATTACTTAAGCTCTTCACAAAAACTTTGAAATACATATACTCTAAGGTGAGGAGTACCTGATCATGAGTTATGAAAAAAACACTTTAATTCGTGGGGTCAATGTTTGTGGGCAAGCAATATTTTGTTGCTTCATGGGGACTTGATTTAGATTTCAGGAATAGGTATGTTGACAAAATAATTGTTTGTGGGGATGTAAATTCATGGATAAGGGTTACCCACAAAATCCGCAAACATTGGTCTGCAATTGATGATTCCATGGTAATCTTTAAAAATGATCTTTAATTATACAAATTGGTATTCCGCAAATTAACTTTTTCCAAGATTAACTGCGTAATAAAAACTTTGTCTTTTATAAACATTCTGGAACTAGTTTGGGGCAAAGTTGGTCATGTAACAAAGTCCATTAAATCGTCGAAAATCTTTACTCATTGTCGTCTAGGAAACAAACAGTTTGTATGTTTACAAGAGGCCCATGGGCCACATCGCTCACCTGAGCACTGTGGTTATGAAAAAGTAGAAATTGGTTTATTATTGAAAAGTTTAAATCCAAAACTAGCAGGGATGGGGTAATTGAATAAAGTAATTGTAATTGAGCGTAATTAATTACATTTTTCAAAGTAATTGAAAGTAATTTGTATTTGAGCTTGCCTTCAATTACAAGTAATTGAAATTAAATACATTTCAAAAAAGAGCATGTATTTTCAATTACTTTTCAATTACATTTCAATTACTTTTCTTCAAAATGAAATTTTATAAAAAGGGGTTTTATACTGATACACAGTTTTTATACTTGTAGGTTTATACTACCTATTGCCACTTTTTAAAAATCTCAAGTCTACCTATTCCCACTTGCCAATACATGTAACAAAGATTTTTAGATAGTTAATTGTTTTCACAGTAATTAGACTAACTACATCCCCTTTTAGATTTACCTATATTCTATTCATTTTAAGTTCAAAAATATTGAATGGAATTGTGAGAAATATTTTTTTTTCCCTTCAGAAATAGATTTGAGAAAATAACAAAGATCATACACTATACTGGTGTGGCATTGGCTTGTGTTTGTACAATAATTAAATGTCACAAAGTTTAATTTGTTTTTACAGTGTCACACTGCCCAGGGCATTAGGTAAAGGTCTAATTTTGAACAGGTTTGAAGGCCTCTCATACCCAAGAAGAAAAACACTGAATAAAAGTTCACTAAAGAAAAAAAAATATTTAAAAAAAATCTTTTTCTTTTTTATCAAAATAAAACTCAAGTAATTGAAATGTATTTAATTACATTTGTCAAAGTAATTGAAAGTAATTAATTACATTTGAAAAAATCAATGTAATTGTATTTGCAAGTAATTGATAAAATTATCAATGTATTTGAAAGTAATTAATTACATTTCAAAGTAATTGACCCCAAGCCTGAAAACTAGTCCCATGACCAATCATATCTTTGCTATTCTTGAGAAGAAGATTTTTAAAGAATTTTCCTATATATTTCTATGTAAAACCTTGGTCGGCCATTGTGGCCCCAACCTACCCCCGGGGATCAAGATTTGAACAAAGTTGAATCTACACTACCTGTGGATGCTTTCATATAAATATGATCAATTATGTCTGTGCTATTCTTGAGAAGAAGATTTTTAAAGAATTTTCCTATATATTTCTATGTTAAACTTTTGTTGGCCATTTTGACCCCGCCCTACCCCCAGGGGGTCATGATTTGAACAAACTTGAATCTACACTACCTGAGGATGCTTCCATATTAATATGATCAATTATGGATTCCTTATTCTTGAGAAGAAGATTTTTAAGGAATTTTTCTATATATTTCTATGTAAAACTTTTGTTGGCCATTGTAGCCCCGCCCTAACCCCGGGGATCACGATTTGAACAAACTTGAATCTACACTACCTGAGGATGCTTCCATATAAATTTGATCAATTATGGCTTTGTTATTCTTGAGAAGAAGATTTTTAAAGAAGTTTCCTATATATTTCTTTGTAAAACCTTGGTCGGCCATTGTGGCCCCAACCTACCCCCGGGATCAAGATTTGAACAAAGTTGAATCTACACTACCTGTGGATGCTTCCATATAAATATGATCAATTATGTCTGTGCTATTCTTGAGAAGAAGATTTTTAAAGAATTTTCCTATATATTTCTATGTAAAACTTTTGTTGGCCATTGTGGCCCCGCCCTACCCCCGGGGGTCATGATTTGAACAAATTAGAATCTACACTACCTGAGGATGCTTCCATATTAATATGATCAATTATGGCTTTGTTATTCTTGAGAAGAAGATTTTTAAAGAAGTTTCCTATATATTTCTATGTAAAACTTTGGTCGGCCATTGTGGCCCCACCCAACCCCCGGGGGTCATGATTTGAACAAAGTTGAATTTACACTACCTGAGGATGCTTCCATACAAACATGATCCATTATGGCTTTTGTTATTCTTGAGAAGAAGATTTTTAAAGAAGTTTCCTATATATTTCTATGTAAAACTTTTGTCGGCCATTTTGGCCCCGCCCTACCCCCGGGGGTCATGATTTGAACAAACTTGAATCTACGCTACCTGAGGATGTTTACCCATAAGTTTCATCTTTCCTGGCACAGTGGTTCTTGAGAAGAAGATTTTTAAAACATACCTCCAAATTTTCATTAATTCCCAATTATCTCCCCTTGAATGAGGGCTTGGCCCTTCATTTGAACAAACTTGAATCCCCTTCACCCAAGGATGCTTTGTGGCAAGTTTGGTTGAAATTGGCACAGTGGTTCTTGAGAAGAAGTCGAAAATGTGAAAAGTTTACAGACAGACAGACAGACGGACAGACAGACAGACGGACGCCGGACAAAATGAGATTAGAAAAGCTCACTTGATCCTTCGGCTCAGGTGAGCTAATAATCTACCCTTAAACTTCAACCTAAATTTTCAAACTTTTTAATCCTTTGGCCAATAATTTAAACCCTAAATTTGAGCTAAGTTTATATATCCTAAGTTTAAATCGAATCTTCAAAAATCTGTTTCATTTGCCCATGGAATATAACAGGCATTGTGTATTTATACCATCTACACGATTAGTGTCTCCCAGACCTAGAGATCGGGCTCAAAGTCAGGGTCAGTTTGGCATATTTTGAAATTTATTATAAAGTGTATCTCATCTTCTTTCCCCATGAACTTTGAGACAAGCTACACGTTTATGATAACTGATGATGATAACAGAGTCCTCGCCAAGGTAAATTATTTGTCAGGGTCACAGTTAAGGTGACCAAGTGCTCCTACATTATTAGCAATCAAAATGTACATAAATTGTATTCCAAATAATCATGTATTATCATTAAGTATGTCTCTTTTGTAACAGATGCCATTCCGCAAATGGATTACGCAATAGGTATTCCATGTGTTGTGTAATTGTTGTATGACGTCACATAGATATCGTTATCATTATCACATGCACATGCCAGATATCGCACGCTGATTTGATATATGAGAACATTAATACATTTTATCATTTATATTTTTTTTTCAAATAAATAAAACCTAAAATTCGGTGCATTAAATGTTTTTGACGCATTTATTATTTTATCGTAATATTTTGATGGCAGCTTTTGATAAGAAATTTCAGAAAAAGACACAAACTACATAATTATTATATTTTTTGCACTGTTATGCTAATGGCCATTTTATTTACAATTTAAACAAAATAAAAAAATAAAATCTGTTTGAGATGCTTTACACAACATAAGAAGGTTATCCTTATCTGAACGAATGGAAAATGGAACGAAATAAAATATTTCTATCATATTTCATAAAACTTTATTTGTGCTACAAACATTTATTTGATATAAAGAATCTTAAACTATTGCTGTCTGAGTCGATTTTACTATTAATATATACAAATGACTAAACATTCAATCTTTAAAAGGAACTGTTGTGTTAGGCGAGGAAAATATTTAAAATCAAACTATCTTGTATTGTTTCTAACATTCAATCAACAAAAAAATTATTTTTTTCTGCAGATGAGCATGGTCATTTCTATGTGAAGTCCGTGGAACAGTTCTCAAGGGAACAGGAACTGAAAAGGACGGTTGTAGAGGCCTTATCTGGAGCCAAAGATAGAGATGTCGATAGAGATGACGATAGAGATGTCAGTAGAGATGTCAGTAGAGATAGAAATATTGATCTCTATAGGCAGGACTCCGGTCTGTGCAGCAGAACAGATTCCATTCAAGAAGATACAAGGTGCAGAAAAGCAAAAGAAGACCCTTTAGATATAAAGAAATATCCAATGATTATATTCAATGATTTGAAGTTAAAATGCATAAATTATGCTTTACGATATTGACTTATGTTGAAAAAGCAAACATCCAAAGAAGTATTATAGTAAAATCAGTTTAAAAAAAAAAAATTTCATGTAAAACATTTTAATACATGTATATAATGACTTTATGTCTTAGTTGTTCCAAAAAAATATAGCACATTGTTTTGGTACATCCATAACTATACTAACTTCATTGAAAAGAATATCGATTTTGAATTTTGTGGTTACTCGATGTATATGTTTTTTCTCTGAAGTCGATATATCTATGGATCCACTTCATAAAATCTCTATATTTGTATATTAATGCATGTACATATATAGAGTTTATCAATTGTCTTTTTTCCTAAAGTATTTTTGAAGAAATAATGCAACAAATAATGCACTCTTTTCTTTAGAAGTGACATAATATCCCTGAAGTCTAGTGAGCTATCTCCAAGAAAAATAACAGCTAACGTTTCCAAGAACAAACAAAACTTAGGTAAATCTTGATACTTAAAAGAAACAGTCTTTTATGATGTTAAAATATTGTGTATAAAAATAATTTAAATAGATATGATATATCAAACCGACCTATCATAAATATATATTAAAGAACGTTAAAAAAATGCTAAATTGTACATCCGTATAGTGCCTGTTATTTTCATTTTGTGAAAAACAAAAAAAAATAATATATACATGATTCATTTTTTGATGAAATACATATGAAATTAAGCCATGTGAAACTGTTGCAGGTCTTTGTGTGTCGGGAGGAATAGAGAGTAAAGCCCAACCTGACATCAAGGTAGAACAGGTGTTAGAGGGAGGGGCAGCAGCGGACGAGCCTGCAATACAGGTAAAATACCTTACAACCAGGTGTATACATTGATTTTTATATTTTCTATAGCGTTCCTCACTAGTCATTATTAACCAGAAACAGTTTCAAAAAAAAAACTGCAGACAATGGTATATTTGAATAAAAATTCTTGTTTGGTCAGGATATTTTGGAATATTTTGAATTGATTACAACTGATACATCTATGTGAGTATGATTACCATGTTCTGCTTCACAGCCCGGAATGGTCATCTTGTCCATCGATGGCCACAGTATGGTGGGGGTCAGACACTCCGTGGCGGTCAATGCTCTCAGGTCCTCCTTCAGCAACAAACGGAAGGTCAATATGACCATTGTATTAAAACGAACAGATACATGACCTTCAGACAAGGCTTAAATAACCACAAAGTCATACTCTCATCATGTAACTTTATAATACAGTTTTTTTTCTTTGTAATGTCATCACTATACTGCTTGCAATATATGTATTCATATAATGATATTTTCATTCAGAAATGTATTTTTTGCGTGCAACATGACTAATGATACTTACTTGATCTTTGTCAAATTACCTTTATTTGCATTTTTAATTACATGTATATGGGATCATATAAAATATTTTTTTGTACATTTTTTTGATAAAATCTCTACCTTCCCTCCCAATCATACTTATTTTTTTTAAGTTTCTTGAAGTGTACTGATTGTACTTCTTTTTCTTTCTATACTTATTGTAAGTTTCTTTATGTATTCTTATTGTATAATTTTTTTGAACAATAAAAACGGTGCAATTTCTCTGAATATTTAATAGTATAAAGGGATAAGCTTGGGATAAAATGGAAAATGAGTATATGTATTGCAAGGTTTTCGAAGTATATTTATTTTACATTTTCTTTAAGTATATTTAATGAACAGTTCCACAACCTTTGCCTATTGTACAGTCTTACTGAACAATTTCTGTAAATATATTTATTGTGACAATTTCTCTAACTATACTTATCATATACAGTTTCGCTAACTTTTCTCTTTGTACATTTTTTCTATCTATCTATCCATAAAAGTATTGTAAAGTTTCCTCTTTGTATTGGTAAAATGGATACTAAGTCATTTACTGACTTTCACTATCCACGCACCCCTCTAAAAATCATTTTAACTTACTATCAATTTACATATAAATTAATGTCATTTCTACATATTTGATAACATTTAATCAACCATGATGTCCTTTTATACGAAAGTGATAAAATATGTTTGATATGATGAACTACTAGCATTTAATTTCTAAGCAATAAAATTAAATGTATATCTATGTTTTGTGTGTTAATAATATGGCTTATTGAAAAAAATATAAATGTAGTCTAATATTGTTTTGCATGCCTGTGTTTACTCATGTTCAACTGAAAGTTTAAACTTAAGAACAGTTTTTCAATTTAAGAGCAGGTCGTATTAATTCGACCACAAGCAGGAACTGATAATTTTGATTTATAAGCAGTTAAAAGCCTCTCGCTAAGAATATTAATTTGCTAAAATGCATTTGTCTTGCACTTGTTTCAGGTGATTTCGCTTGTCTTGCAATTTTCTATTTCTTTAGTGTTTTTCAGTTTAAATATTCATGATTTCGTAGATTTTTTATTTGTTCTGGTACCATAACTTTGTAGAACCATTTTTGATGTATTACTTATATATACTCTGTGGCAAAAAATATGTATAAGTAGAAATAAAGATACAATACCCCGGTACAAACAAAACAATTATTAATTGATCAATAATCCTCCTTGTCTTTCTTGTTGCTAAATTTGCATTCTTATTTTCTCACCATTTAACACTTTATCATCTTTTATATTATAGTTCTACTCTTAATTACATTTGTCTTTTTTTACAAACTGTGATCTGAACTTGATCGGCATTTTATCCGCTGTAATCAGCTCCATTTCCCACAACTGTTTCTCTTGTTCATTCCTCTTGTTCATTCCTATAGATTTTGAGTCGCTCATGCTGTATAGTGTGATTGTACCCGGGGAACCGCCTTCTATTCTTTGGTCATCTACTATTTTCTACGAAGGTCAATGCAAACTCTGCAATGAAATATACACACAATCTTTTTAAATTTCTGATTGGTGCTAAGAATGGATTTCGTCCTTCAGTATTTTACTGAGGACTTCTTCGCATACAGCCAGGGTCCAGAATCATCTGAAGAAATAAACTGTGTTTTGCGAATTTTGATTTGAGAAATATTTCATATTGTCATGAATTTTGAATGCTGAAGACATGCTCTTTGATTTAAGGAAGAAAAGGGTCAGCTGAATCTAGAGTGAACTTCCACACTTCACTTCCTGTGAAAGAGAAGTGTACTTAATGTTATAGATTGTGAAGTTGAATATGTTGCAGTATTGCCAGCTTATCTTAATTGTTCAGAAAAAATAGTAATACTCTCCCTAATTTAAGATTCCAATTACTTATTAAGCCAACAGTTTCAGGCATACTTAAAATCTTTTGCACTGATTCATAACAATCAAATATAATGGCCGACATCAATTTATTTTCAAAAACAACATGCTGAGACTTCAGTCACCTGCAAACAATTATAAAGAATTTACAGAAGAAGCAAAATGTTGTTGTGCAGGTTTATGACTGTAATAAAGAGACCAGAGAAAAAGCCCCTTAATGAGATTATATTGGTAATTACCACCAGTGCGCGTGAGGGTTTATACCTACATTATACATACACAGAGCTGTCTAATGACTATAATTTACGTCTTACTCTATGAAGCATAATTTGGATAATTTTCTTAAGAGGCCGATAAATTGTACAGAAGCTCTTCATTTAAGCACCCTATTCAAAAGCGTCAGGAAAGAGTTGAGTTAGTAGGCATAGCGGTAATAGCACAATCGTCTTTTAAGTATAAGACTCCTCATGTAATTTGAAGATGGAGAAAAAATTGCGCCAAATTGCCGTTCCTTGATCACTTAAGCGCGAGGGTCTTACCGAACACTGGGACATGTGAGGGTGTTACTCATGCCAACTTCTTTGATTTAATACATAAAATTCCCAAGTACTTGAAAATGAGGAACTTTTTTGTAACTTGAAAATGTGAAAAGAAGCCAAGTTTTACATATTCTTTATCAATCAAACGCACGGAATGAATTCTAATTTGCAAAACTAATTATTAGATTGAAAAACACTTATAGTAAAAAAGTAAATGGGGGACCTTTTCCATCAAGTAATGTATTTTTATTTATGTTTTGAACTAAATGAGCGAACGTTGTCATCGCATAAAAAAAACTTGAATGCATTTTACAGTGTTTAATTACAAAACTGATATATTGCAACACAGAGATCATTAGTAAAATAGGTTCACTGCATTAAATTATAACACACAACAAGACAATAAGTCCATAATTGCCCGTATAAATCGAGACCCCATGTCGCAGTAGATACTGGCACGAAAAAAATCCCTCCCTGCTCAATGACCCTGGGTGCCAAGTGTAGGACAAAATTTGCATCTCTCCACCTGCAAGTGGTGGCGTCTCCATATGAGTGAAAAGTTCTCTAGAGGGACGTTAAACAATATGCAATCAATCAACCATAATTGCTCGAAAAAAGGCCTAAAATTCGACATGTAAGGACTGAGAGGGATTAAAAAACAAATGCACCCAAAAGCACATTACGTTGTCCCATTCAAAATATAAAGTTAGACTCCGTGCACTTTGTTTTTTTTAAGAAACAATTTGCAATAATTTAAAAATCATGTGAATAACACATAACCTTAAGTTAGAGGCATCTTTCTATAAAAAGTTAAATGTTTCTGACCTGTACTGAAGTGTAAAGAACTAGTGCTAATTGTAACGGGAACCGTTACAGATGTTCCCCAAACGCTCCCAAACTCCTTTTTTGTGCCATATTCCCTGTAACCTTAATTAAATAAGACAAACTCTGTGCATTTTAGCCTTTAACAACGTTTTCACAGAAGGATACCAATTATATTCAAATTTTAACATTGCACCCGTGCACATGTTAATGCATGTGCGTTATAATCATATCATCTTGTCTACACTATCTACATATTTAAATATACAATATATTAAAGCATTCGGTCCAAAAGTATGAAAAATCACTCTCAAATGTATTTTTATTTCACTCGTTCCAAATGCACGCACGTGCGTGCACGTGCATGATGACCATACCTTCTTGTAGGAGTCCCTTATATCTTTCTATGTTCTAAATCCCATCCTGTTTGGTTGAAAAACAAGGGAGTTTTAGCCATTTCAAGTTTAAGCCAATCAGATTGCAGCGCACGTGCATGCACGTGATTTCATGATTTGTTTTCTATATCACATTGTAGGATATCCTAATGCATGACTATGTTTTAAATTTCAAAGCATTTCGTCAAAAAACAAAGGAGATATAGCCATTTAAAGTTTCAGCCAATCAGATTGCAGCACACGTACATACGCATGTTTTCATGAAAATTCTTATACATCATGCTGTAGATCTTCATTATGTAGGTCTATGTTCAAAATTTCAAAGGATTATGACAAGAAACAAGAAAGATATTGAGACTTTACTTTCAGCCAATCAGAGCGAAGCGCACGTGCATGCGCGTGAGATCTTACTTTTATGACCATGTCATTTTGTCTATGCTTCCAATATATACTTATAATATGAGTTTCAAAGCATTTCATCAATAATTTAAATAGTTTCGTCTGTATCAATTATATTGGACATTTCTGCAAGCACATGTGCATGCACATGCTTTCATGATAAATCTTATAATACAGGCTGTAGATCTCCCTAATATATGACTATGTTCAAAATTTCAAATGATTTTATCAAAAAACAAAAAAGATATTGATACTTTAGTTTCAGCCAATCAGAGCTAAGCGCACGTGCATGCGCGTGCGATCTTGCTATTTTGACCATGTCATCTTGTGCTTACTACTAATTTATCCTTACATTATAAGTTTCAAAACATTTCTTCACAAAATAGAAAAGTTACGGTTATATCCATTTTATATTGGTCATTTGAAGTTTTGCACGTGCGCGCTCTTGCAAGCACGTTAAATGGCAAATCTCTCTCTCTTAAAAAGGTTTAAAATGTGTGTTTACAAGATCACTCGCGGACAAAATTTTCCCAGGAAGAAAAATAATAAGAATAATAATAATAAGAAACAGAGTAAAAACAATATGTTCCCCAACTTCGTTTGGGGAACATAATTACCCTTATCCATAAGGATCTTAGTATTTTTATCATGAAGTAAAATATGTTACAAGAGGGAAACACATGGCTTATTACAATGAATTTTATTTTGAAAACAATGAATCATCTAAAACAAAAACATAACTGCACCTTGCCGTCATGCTACATTTATTCTTTCAACGGCGCTGGGTTTGCCGACAAATTTCCGGGAATCT